TCTCTCTCTCGTCTCTCTCTCTCTCTCTCTCTCTCTCTCTCTCTCTCTCTCTCTCTCTCTCTCTCTCTCTCTCTCTCTCTCTCTCTCTCTCTCCTAAGCGTTAACTCCTGGCGAGCAAAACTATTACAATTCCTGAAGCTCGCGCGTTCCCTTCCCATCCTATCGGCACCCGTTCCACCTCCTCCTCCTCTTCCTCCTCCTCCTCCTCCTCCTCCTCCTCGTGGCCCTGCTGGCAACCCACGTCTCTCCGCGTTCTGGCATCGCGCCCGTCAAGGGAGATTTATAGCAACTCGAATTCCTCGACTACTAGTCGGCCGTGGAGCGAGCGAGCGAGCGAGCGATGGAGAGGAAGAGGAGAACAGTGAAAGGGAGAGCCGCGGTTCCGGAGAACCTGGAGGGCCCTCTCCGCAGCAGGGTGGTGATGGTGGTGGTGGTGGTGGAGGTGGTTGTAGGTGGCGTTCGCGTTGGGTTGTTGGCCTCGAGGGTTTGGGAGAGGAGAGGAGAGAGAGAGAGAGAGAGAGAGAGCGCTCGTCACTTTGACGCGAACTCGTATTCCATCGTCTAATACGTCCACGTCGATCCTGTGCACCGAGGGTTCCCCTCGTGACGATGACGTCACGAGGTGGCGGAGTATATTTCCGAATTCTCGATACGTCGGGGGCTGCAAACTTTTTCGAACGATGGTTTCCAGATTCTAGAGCCATCTTTAATGGATTACTTTAAAAAAAAAAAAAAAAAAAGGAAAAATTTCACGAATTTTCGAGAATTCAAAAAGGAAAATTTCACTTGATCGAAAGAAAATTTCACGGTGATTCGAATATGTAGAATTTGCTTTAATCGACACGAGGAATATTTCGAAACGAAAAGCTTAACGTGAACCGAAACACGAGAGGGGAATTTTTAATCGAGGAAAAATGTTCATTTTGGAAACAAAAGAAAAATCTCACAATGGGCCACCTTTAATTTCATTTTTGAGACAAAGGCGAGGGAGGAAAAATAGCGTCTCTCTCTCGGATTGGAATAAAGGGAAGGGCAGCGCGCGAGACGAAGTAGATATCAATCACTTGGCTTGGTGACGGGTTGAGATTTGGCAGCAGCTTCGGAACGCGGCGCGAAAGAGGAGGAAGAAAAGGCGCCGTCCAACAACTGCGTCCATTCCGCCGTCATTTTTCTAAGAGGGGCCCTTACGTATCGATTCACCGAGTTATCGAGGTGTCAATGTGCCATTGTCATTGGTCTGGATCCCGTGTAGATGTCGCGTACGTCGGGCGATGATGAGCCCTGTCACGCCATCGCGCGACGCGTTTCTTGCTCCTGTTCCAGCAGGAGGCGAATTCTTGGCAGCCCGATTCGTTGGGAGAACTTGTCTCCGGATTAATCGATTTTCGTTTCTTATATATCTGACCGCGGTCTTTCATCGGGATACAGCATCGGTTGGCACGATTCGTTCGCGTTGCGAAACCGTGTCTCCCTTTTTTAAAATTCCGTGCTCGATTAGGGAGACCTTGCTCCTATTAAATTGGGACCAAGTTTCATTTTGTTGCTTGTTCACGCGTATCTAAATATATCGTACAATATCTAAGTTGACTGAGATTAAAGCATTGTTACGAATTTTAGTTGAACTTGGAGAAATTAAAAATCCTGAAAACGGTGAATTTTTGATTCGGTTTCGTCAAACGATTCCAGAATCAAAACACTTGATACCTTGGTGGATATAGTAGGTATGGATTATAATTATCTACGATAATTCTTTTCAAATTAAATTCGAATCTAACTTCGAATTCCCTGTTTTATTATTATTCGTATATCGTGCACGAGTATGCAATGGGCAATGTTGGATTCGTTGGAGAAAAAAGAAAAAAAATTGAGGTTAGAATGTTGTTAAATCGCGGTAAGGGCGATTCTAAGTTTGTTCCCGTGGAATTCGAGAGGAAAGGGCGTCGGATGCGGATTCAGTCAGCGTCAGTTTCAATGAGGAAGAAGGCATGCCTCTTCTCTGACCAGTGTCAGTTACATGTTCTAGAATACTGGCCCCATGGGATCGCGAAGGTAAGACTTCACCCGGCGAAACTGCTCGGTGTCAGGAAGATTGAAAACGTGATGTGACACGTGCTCGCGCGTTTAGGCCGACGAGCGTTGTTATGAGATTGCGTAACACGCTTGGACGAGAGAAAGAAACACGCCGCATGAAATGTTAAAAATATGGTTCACACGTGGAGGATGATAAAACCTCTTCTGTTTTGCGCCATGGTATTTCGAAAATAATTATTAAGTTCGCATTACGCACATATAATAGTTGTTAACTATTAATATCATTGAAAATTTTGTGAAGAAATATTTTAATATGAATTTACGACAGGAAGAAATTGAGAGAAGATTGAGAAAGATTTTTAAATGTTTCTTTGCCAAAATATGATAAATCGTTCAAAAATTCAATTTTTTTTCTGAAATATTCTGAAGAAATTCTTTGAATAATTTTCACTTTATGAAGAATTAAACAAAACATTTTGTAAACGTATAAACTTGAAAAATTCTGCCATCTATGAAAAAGGGAGTGTAACCTGTTTTGTAGGTGTACCATTGCTGATAATGGATCAAAGTTTCTTCGCGATCTACTATACCGAGCGATAGAGATTCTCAACGATTTTTAAAGCGAATTACAAGATGGTGCTTTGATCGTTATTACAGCCATCATGAATCAAATTATGTCAAGAATAAGTGGGGGTTGATGTTGACGAGAGGTGGGTCTTTCTGGTTAAGCCTACCATTGGAAGGGTGGAGTCCGCTATGCATGACCTACGACCATCTGGAAGTACCACATTGGCGTAGAAATATTAAAATTTATTTGATAAAAATTTATACGTGCCTAAAAATTAGTTTTCCTCGATTGAATTTAATATTTCTCAAATATTTAAAATCCTTTATGATTATATAAATTCCAGTACAGAATGTAAGTATATTTACTCGATAATTTTAACATTAATGTTAATATTTAATATTATAAAAAGATTTATAAAAACATGTACCTTCATATGCGAATATATAAAAGATAATTATTTCTTTATTATAGGTGATATTTTAATTATAAATGATAAGAGAGACCATTATAATTTTTAATCACAAAAAAATAAATATATATTTTTGAATCAACCAACTATGAGGAAACAGAGGAACTACTTTGAAATAAAACTATCGGTAAAAAACTGTTACGAGAATCTGTAGCTAGTGCCATCTTATGGTATTTTCTATCACAATTCCTGAAATATCGATCTCAAGGATATTTTCAGATTATTTGATTACCAAAATGACATAAAAAAAAAAAAAAAAAAAAATAACTACGATTTATTAATTTGATAATTTTTTTTGCACATCGAATAACATTTTATTTCGTTTCATAAAAGTAGACATATTTAAAATAAATTTCAATTATCTTTTTATTCATATCGAAACAAATATACGTTAATTAATTTATTACAATGCTTTAATTACAATCAAATTTTTTTTTATTCATTTATTTGACGATTAGAATAATTGATATAACGTCTTTCTAAGATAGAATCTCTGCTTGATTATCGTTTTATTTTAACTCGATAGATTAATTTATATTCCTACATATTCATTCATCTTTTCTTGTTATTATTCTTATTGTTCTTTTCAAAGACGAAAAAAATTTCAATATAGACTATGAAAAAAGAGTAAAATCTTATTTTTTGATCGCACACAATTAAAATTTGAAATTAAATATTATATAGTACTTCAATTTTCACACGGATTTGAAATAAATGTAGCCAATCAGAAAGCAGTTAATATCTAACCGCGAAATGAATCATTGCGCATCACGATGCGCATGGCGTTAGTCTACAGTCGAAAATCATAGTGACAGGTTGCGTTTTACCGGTTAAAGTGTATAATTACGTAAAATTTTCATTAATAAACTATCGTTTTAAGTTTAATTGTAGATTATTAAGTTTTATTTAATTATTACGTGTTTGTTTAATCATTATTGTATCAAAATTGAATGGTATTTAGACTTTTATCGTCTTTCTAAACTTTATTCGTTCGATTAGAATTTCGATGACTTCGAAAGCATATTAGTTTTCACACATGCCATGATAATTAAGAGATAATCCGAAGAATTCATCGAATAAGGTAAGATTTTATTTATTTTAATAAAAACAGTTAGTTATTATAAATTTCTTTTGTCTTTTTATTCGCTCGAAATTCACACATACATATTTCGTACGTATTCTCACATACATATTTCGTACGTATTCTCACATACATATTTCGTACGTATTCTCACGTATTTGTTTCGTAAATACATTTATTCATACGTTCAACTCGAATGTTATATCTGAATTTGTTTTCATTTTACGCCCAAAGCTAGAAGATTGTAAACATTTCTTATTAATCAGCTTTTCCAAGAATTGATGATTTGTGTTGTGCTACGCTCGACATGTTTCAAGCTGTCGAATTATCGAGTATTCCCCTCTCCTTTCCAGTTTATGTTTCGATACATCGACATTCTGTTCTCAAAATTCGTGGCGATTGAACGCTTCGCTTCAGGTGCGTAATTTATTTAGTACGTAATAATTTATTTCCCAATTATTCTTTTATTTTTTATATTATTATTACTTCATTAGTACAAATTTATTCAATAATTTATTGAATATTATTAATAATTCTTTCAAGAATCATTTATTCTTTATTTTTTATTCGTTTTGACTATTAAAATTCTATTCTATTAGCTCGTATTATGAGCTTTTAAAGTAGAATTTTTAAGTAATTGCTTTTTTTTCTAGTACAATATCTTATAATTGTACATATGTTTTAATTTCTCTTCGTATTTTATATATTATCGTACATATCTTAAAGATTTGACTTTCTTTTATGCAGATTACTGAAATTACTTTAGGCGGGAAAAATTCTCAATATGGATGCCATGATGATATTTTACATTTTATGGAGAGAAGGTAAAATTTAAATTTCATTATTGAAGAAAAACATTTATAAGTATGTATATACTTATTTTTGTGTTCTTTTTTTATTGAATTATTATAATAATATAATAATCGATTGAATAATTGATAGATAGATGAAAATAATAAAAGATTTAATAAAATGAACTATAATTTTCTGTATTTTTTATAAATTTTCTATTACTTGTAAAAATTTTAAAATATTTTTATCATTAATTTTAACAATGGATATTTAGAACATAATTCATTTGAAAATAACAATATCTTTATATAATAAATACTATATAGAAAGAAGAGAGAAAATGTAAAAATAAATTTTTTCTTTTCTCTTATATTTCCTCTTCCTCCTAATCCAATTTTGTTTCCAGATGATTGTGATCACGTGCAATGTGATCGATAGAGTCAGTGTTTGTTTCGTAATAGTATTTTTAATATCTTTCACAGCACAATAGTTTTGATTAAAAATTAAACGCGAAAGTAGAGTCAGTGTTTGTTCGCCAATTGTAATTTAAACGGTTGTATCAATAGTCTTTTATTATTTTTTGAATATTCGTTTTCGATACAGAATAGAATCAGTGCATCAAGAGAATAAGGCGATCATCCATCACGCGAAGAGGTAACTATATATCTTTCTATATATTTCAAATTTAATAATTTCATATTTCAATCTTGTCAAAGAATTATGTTTTAAATTATGTTTCTCCCTTTTTCATAGATTCTCTTATCGGATGATACAATATTCTTCTGAACTTCGGTAGCAGTTCTTCGCATCGAATGGTGAGTCGCATTTTGGTTCCTCTGGTCACTCAATCATGTCGTAGGACGAAAGGTCCGAATCGACATGGGTGATTGGTTGTATACGTAGATTTTTGCACGAGCACAGTGACCGCGGATATTTTATAATATCTGTGAATAGTAACATTTATTTTCTCTGTGTTTTATTTATTAGTTCAGGATAGGGTCTTCTTGTGCGTCGCGCTTTCTATTTTTAAATAATGATTTATCAATGGTACATTAATAATAATAATAATAATAATAATAATTTGAATTGTATAATTTATATTACTTTGTGTATGAATATTGTGTGTGAATAATACGTGATAGATAGTATTCATGTAATATTTATTATATAATTATATGATAATTTATGTAATAACTTGAATTCAGTAGTGGAGAAGCCGGACGTCCTCCGACTTTGTTACAATATATAGATTATAAAAATATAATTATTATTTTTAATCTGATAAATCATTTTTAATTTTAATTCCATTTTCTTTCTTTTTTGCTTCTCAACAACATTTTAAACTTCAACTTCTCGTTCAACTTTTTCCATGTTATAATTTCATTATAACATACGTAGACAGTAAAGTTCAATTTTTTTTCCCGTAATAAAATGTGAAGTAAATGCGCAAGAAGACATTTCGCGACAGGTGGATCGCAGAATCAGAGTTTCAAACAATATTTTTGTCTCTTTAGAAACGTACTCTGATGAAGTAATCGCCTGACGAAGACATTTCTATTAATTATTCACATTACATTCCAACAAAATTTTAAATTCTTTCTTTAACAAAAATAAATTCCATTCCACAATTAATTTAACAATTTATTAAATTTGAAATTGAATAAGAATCTACACGCAAAAAGTCAAAAAATAGCCCGTTAGATAAAAAATACTAATACTTGCTTCTTAGCTCAGGATTTTCAGGTTTAACCTTTTCCATGCCCATTGCCAGCACCCCACTCACGTGCCCAGGTGCTGCTTGGGTGGGAGAAAGGCGGTGGGCGTGATGACCTTGGTTCATAAGCTAATGAAAATTTTTCACGCGACTGACGATGCGTTGGTGCGCATGCGACGTACTCTCCACACGTGTGTGCGTGCGATTAGGCTGTGGAGATGCGTCGTTTCGATTGTTATTATATTTCGCACGTACGAAAAATATCACGTTAAATAGCAGCATTATCGATAATGCCGTCAAATTTATAATATACGCGTAATACATATTCGTTCGCAATTATTCGCGATCAAAAATTTAGATTCCCGCATTTTTATCGCGAATCAACGCAATGGCCGCTCTCCATCGTCAGTCGATTTCAGGTAAAACGGTACGTAAAGTTAGAGCGTGAGAGAAGCGTGCCAAGCTCGGGTGTCGGAGGCGTCCCGGGACGCTTTCCCCAGTGTAGGCTTATCGCGCCCGAGCGTTATGCGTGAGAATCGTGGAGAGAGTGTGTTGGTGTGCCTGTTTTTGCCATTTTTTTCAAATATAGGGCTAGGTAGGACAGGTAGCTTGCCTTCTGGTGCGAATGTTAATCGTAAGTAGGCAGGGCCGGGCAGGTTGTCGCAGTCTCTGGTCGGGTAGGCGCGTTTCTCGCGTGGCAACCTGTTTCAGGAAATGGGATTCGAAGAGTGGACGGTGAGGCTGTTGACACGAGTGGAGAATTCACCTCGTCTCTTGCTTTGCCTATCCATTCTTCGAATCGTCGCGCTCGCGAATTATTTGTCACGAAACGAACGTCGAGGTTCCGCGCTCTCCACTTTCGTTCGATTTTAGTCCTTTTCTTTTTCTTTTTTTCTTTTCCTACGGTTAGCGAATCTCGAGCCTAGTTTTTAAGTTTCAGCGGGCATCGCGCTCGAAGGAGGAAGACCGAAGAGGCCCGACAAACTGTCACGAAGAGGGCCGCAACGAATGGCCTCTCATCCTTTGGATCTTTTTTCAAAAGAGGTACAAAGAATGGGAGGTCATTGTTACTATTTTTGTCACTGTGCTCGTTTTAGCGCGTAGTAAATATTTTATCGTCCGACCGATTTGCATACCGGCCCATCATCACAGGAATCGCGATTTTTTTTATTAGTGTTGCGATTGATCAATGACGGGTTGAATTAGTGTAGTATTTTTATAATTTTTTATTTTTTACTTTTTCCAAATTGATTATAATAGTTTTTATTATTTATTAATTGATATAGTTTGTTATAAAACTACGTAATATTGCTACGTCGATAAAATAACGGCAAAATAGGAATCACGCGGGATAGTTTAAAAAAGTTGGATTATAGCATGCTAGATGGCGTAAGGAACACAATCGAGGTCGGTATGTTAAAATATACGATGGAAAGTTCCGTAAGATGTCACCACTCGCCTGTTCTTGGTCGGTGTAACAGGTTATGTATTTATATATTACAAACATTTCAACAATTTCATCAACAATTTATTCCACGTTTTATCAACTTGTAATTATTACCATTAATTTGTAGTTCGATACATCCAATCCCTGTATTACATATTGTTGGTAAAGTAATCTTTTTACAATTGACAGTATAATCGCAATAGTTAAAATATTTTTATTCTTGTTAACAAAAACTTTTATCGTAACGATATCGATATTGAGATAAGTGGAAAATTATCCTCCAGTGGACTGTACCCTAACAATTTGAATATCGCAAGTATCGTGAAAAAGAAAGAGTACGTTTATGAAAAAATTCCCATTCCCAAGAAAAATTGGACAATTTAATAAATGATTTCAGGATACAAGTTTTATGAATTGTTGGTTTAACATTCGAGTATCTCGTAACCACGATCAATGACTGGAATACTATTCGTGACTATGCATTCTTCGAAGGCTGTCTGTCCGAATACAAACCCAAGGTCATGGTCAGTATAACGAACGAGTTACTGCTACGAGGAATGCGGAATATAAATAGGATCGAGATACCGCAATCTAAGAGCGGTACGATCGATCGATAAATTTAAAATAAAATTTCATTTTTTTCAGAACCTATGAAAACGATATTTCTTCTTACAAATATGTAAAGAGCCTCGTAAAAAGTATATCATAACACACGCGCGTCTACTACTACCAATCGGCCTACCTCTCCGACCAAAATAATCGATAAGAGGTTCTCGAAACTGGTTGATGCATCGACCAACTTTTTGCCGAAAGAGAAACCTTATCGCTTACACGATAAGAATATCTCTTATCTACTATATATCACGTAAGTATCGTAATAACGAAAAAAAAAAAAAAAAATACATTGAACGCAAAAAACTTCCAGTTTTATAATACGACCAATTGATATATAAAATTGACGATTCCATATTCAATTCTTATTACTATTCTTCCGATTGTTTTCCAGTTCCATTTTCCAACGTGGGTTTGAATCATCCGCACGATTCCCTCCAGAGGGCAGAAGTTACGCGGCCCAATATTATATTTCGGTGGAGACCCTACCGGAGAGCGGTGGAAATAACTGTCACCGAAGACAATTTATGTTAATGACTGTTCCTGGGTCCGAGGAGAGGCGCGAGGCCGGTCCAGTCTGCAGGTCTCCGTGGAGCTGGTCGGACATAGTCGCTCTCCGCCGTCGCTCTCTCCACGCCGGATTTTCCCCTCCCAAACGTCGAGGCAACCCCTCTTCGATTCCCCTCTTCGTTTCAACCCCGCAATGGCGACGCCCAGCGTCGATCCTGTTGTCCGCCACGCAAACTCGCGGAATCCACATCCCATGGCGCTTGTGCGTGACGACTCGTTTTACCGTCGGAAAATGCGTCGTGCCACCTTCGTGTCGAGATTCAGAATGTCGTTCGTGATATTAGTGATGAAGAATAATCGTCGAAGTGACTTGTACTTGAAATAGACTTTTCTTCGTCGAGAATATAAGTGCGTAAAGGGGGGAGGGGGGACGAAGTTTGGGGAGGGAAGAGAATGGTGTCCTTTGGCCACCGATCCTGAGAAATGGATTCCTTCGGATGGACGAGGAAGCGGATGAGTTTTTCGAGGGTAAATCAATTTTTTAAAATTTTTCGGTGATGGTGCGAAGTGCGAAGCGGTGATTTGAATTTTTATTTTACAGCATTGTATCTGTACGCACGATTGATTAGGCGTAAAATTGGATTAATCGAGATGTAGAGAAACGTGAGGATTATTACTATTGTGGGGAGGGTGGCTGTAGGTCGATGTTAATGCATGTGTTTTCGTCCCCGTAGAGCGCAGACTCGCGCCGGAATCCATTGTTACACGATTATTAAGTCGAGCCAAGTTTTCGAGCTTCGTTTCTCAACGAGTGAACGCACAGTGGCCATGATCCAATTTTTAATAATTTCTACGTTTCTTTGATCCAGATCTCGTTGGACGAGAATCTTTATTTCTCGTATCAAATTATTCAAATTGTTTTATTCCTGCCTCTCGAATTTATTCTCTCAACAACAAGATAATCAAAATTACGTTTTTACTTGTAGTCAGAGGCTCGATTCGAACGTTTCAAAACGCAAAATTCCAAATCTCCCCGATCATCGTCCGTTCTTGCAAACCAAATCAAAATTGTACAATGAGATTCTGGTCGAATCGTGGCGAAGGGAAGAGAAGAGGACGAGCTCGATCGAGATTCGTCATCGGATGAGGGGGGGACCCGTTCGGTCGTTACATTTCTGTTTTGGAATGGAGAAGACGGTGCTCAGTGGCGCCGACGGTGGTTTATTTCGCCAGTTTCGGCCAGCATCTCGGAATCTGGCGGGATCGATCTGCACACCTCGCTTCCTCTACCAGTCCACGAAAAGTGTTGAAATTGTACACCATAATATACTATATATACATAATATACTAAGTCGTCGAAGGAAACAGGCGAAACTGTCGAGTGTCTCGCTTATTGTTTTCACATATTTAGGTACACGATTGTGGATATTTTTGACTGTACACATTGTGGCGATCGATCGACCGTCCCTCGCGATTTCTTCTTCGTTTTCTCTCTGCGGTCTCAGGTAATCAGGCTCAATTTGCTTCTTCATCGGATATTCGTTATTTCATTATTGTTTCGTCTCGTCTTCCTTTTTTTTTTTTTTTAGATTTGCATTGCAGAATTCTTGTGTAGTGTTTCTCGATTTTTTGATTCGATCCTTACTTTTGCTTTCGAAAAAAAATTTATGCCCAACTTTGTGATTTTATTTGACGACAATTTTTCGGTAGACGCGGGCAAACCGGCTATGAACTCCAATCAAGGACTCGACTCAACTCGGCCCACATTCCACGTCTAGACTACACCGATCCTTAAACTCGCCGCGTTCGATACTCCTTCTCCTCGATTCGATTTCTTGCGGAAAAAGTTTTCAACGGCTCTGCTTCTGCACTCTCGATTTCATGAATTAAAAGAAAACTCGATGCGGAGAAAGTGAGTGAAAATTTGTAAAAATTAGGAAGAATTGTGAATCCGTAGCAATTTTCTAATTTCTATTAGAAAAGTTATTTCATATTCACGCAAGATTAAATTATCGAAATCTTTCGAAATCTCGATTCGATTAACTTAAATTTGATTCGATCGCGTTTACGTTTTAAAGTTGTATATCGAAACTAGCCTTCGCCTGTACAATTTTCAAAGTTTCATAAACTTATATAAATTATATAAAATACGAATGAAAAAATTTGAACGATTTCGAATCGATGCGGAATGGGATATCGAAATAACGGATCCAATTTTCGGTCGGCGATCGTGAATATGAAATACGAGGCAATAACCGTTTCGATATTTTAACATAACTGCACACGCGATATGTAGAACCACGGAATCGATACCAACACTTTCTTCCTTCACTGTTTTTCCCTTTTCTTTTTTTTCAATTTAATTTAAATTTAAGATTAATCGAATCGATGTAATTATTTAATCGATTTATAAACGATAACGTATTAATTATAACATAATAAGGCATTTATTCGAAATTGTACAACAAGTTGTCGATTCGAAATTCACTGTTTCAACCTTCATTCGTGAACGTATAGAATTTACTCGTTTTCATTCGTTCATTCGTCTCGGTGTAACACAAAAGAAGAGAGAAACAATAGAGATGTATTAATAGAGAGAAGGCTTGTAGGAGGAATTTTTGGATAGTATTCTATATATCTCAATTTTAGAAAATTATCTCAATCAAGTATATAAAATATATATATATATGTATAAATTATAAATTCAAAGAATAGTTCATTTAAAATGAATTTAATTTAATTTTTTTCGAAATTTTAAACCAATTTTTAAATAGCTTATACAATAATTATAAATTCAATTTACAAAATTAATGTTTTATTGAAAAAAAAAAACTTTCAAAGTTTCAATCGATATAACCGATTTGTTTAAAATTGATCATATTTTATTATTATAACGTTTATGATAGAATTTGTAGTTATCACTAATTTGTTTATTAGTATATATATAAAAAGTACATCTTCTCCATGATACTTGAAAAAAAAAAGATTACGAAATCGGTGAAATTAGAAGATTAGGAAAGAAGAGGGAAATGATAATCGGGAAGTAAGAGTTTTATACAAGGACGTAAACATCACGAAAACGTAACGTTTTCCACGCAATTTCGCCACGGCCTGAAGAAATTAAAGCGTCGCCGCGATAAATTAACACGTTTCCGCGAGGGATGACGTCATGCGCCGCAATTCGAGCATGGGACCTCGAGCAACGAGGTCTTCGTTATAGTCTTTTATAGTCTCGCGGCCACATGGGCACAGCCCGATTCCCACCACCGATACACGCCTCGCAAAACCGTGTACGCTCTCCCTCCTCCCCCCTGCACGCGTCCTCCACACGGATGATGCATTTGAAAAAAGAAAAAGAGGGAAAAAGTTGTCGAGTCTCGGATAAGAAGAAATACGAGTGTTCTCGACACGATCGATCGATCGATAAAATTGTGGAAAATAATTTCCCCGCGTAAAATTTTTTTCTTTTCCTTGGAGCGGAGCGGAGGAAAAAATTTCAAATTCCAAATTTGTTGTCATTTAACGATCTTTTTTAAAATTCCAATTCTAAATTTGTTTTTTTTTAAGGATTTTTTAAAAATCCCAATTTTAAATTGTTTTTTTATAAGGATTTTTTAAAAATTCCAATTCTAAATTTGTCTTTTTACAAGGATTCTCTTGTTTTTCTTTAATGATTTTTAAATAATTTTCTTCGGGATTTTCAAGATTTTTTCCAAATTTCTTCTCCTTTAACGATTTTTTTAAAATTCCAATTTCAAATTTGTTTTTCTTAAATGATTTTTTAAAAATTCCAATTTCAAGTTTGTTTTCCTTTAACGATTTCGTTTAAAATTCCAATTCAAAATTTGTTTTCTTTTATTGATTTTGTGTGAATTTTTAGAAACAGGGAGAAAATTTTCTTCAGGATTTTCAAAATTTTCTTCCAAGTTTGTTAATAATAATTTTTTTAAAATTCTAATTCTAAATTTGTTTTATTTTTTTAATGATTTTTTAAAAATTCCAATTCCAAGTTTGTTTTCCTTCAATGATTCGTTTAAAATTCCAATTCCAAATCTACTTCCTTCTAACGTTTCAGAAACGAGAATATTTTCTCCGAAATTTTTTAAGATTTTCTTCCAAATTTCCTTCTAACGATTTTGTAAAAGTTTCAGAAACGGAAAGAAAAATTTTCGAGATCTTCTTCCAAATTTATTCCTTCTAACGATCCCGTAGAAGTTTCGGATATAAGATTTTCTTCCAAATTGTTCAAATTCCCCGGAAGATAATATTTTTGTCTAATATATTTTGCAAAAGTTGTAAAGTTATTAACAGGGGCCCTCAGGAAACTTTCTCGGAATTCTCGCGTCCGGTTTTACGAACGTTAGTTTTATTGCGGCAATATAGCGGAGGGATAGCAAACTATTGTTCGACTTTTTCCCTGGTCCTGGCCCAGGTATATCTATATATCTATATATATATATATATATATATACT